GCGTAAAACATTTTACTTCGTGACTTTTTAGCCTAATTGCGCAGGCGTCATTTTAGCCGCGTTTATTCGTTATTACCTTTTTGTGTATTAAACCAATTAGCTAGAGCTCTAGACACACTACATTCAAATAAGTTCTACATCTAAATATTTTCTTCTGAAATTCATATAGGTACAACAAATTATAAAACAGAAACGTATATTCGTACAGTATTGTTACTTAAACTTAAGTTTAATTAAAAGTCTACCATTCTAAAAGGAACTTTTTTTACTTTGCACCAATCTATTTTTGTCTGTTTTGTCAGGTTAGCGAGAGCGTCACGGGTGACAACCACTTTGATAAACTATTCAGTTACAGTGGCAATAGCTGAGCCGCCACTTATTTTGCTTTCACATGAAGGTACGAAAGGGAAAGGATATTTAAATGCATATAATTTAAAAATATAATAAAATTAAATCGGCTTTATTTGACATGCAAAATACGCAACTTACAATCATTAAATAAAGAAAAAAGATTCAAGTTATAATAAAAAAGCTTGTCAAAAGGTTCTAAATGACTCGGCATCTGATGGTTGTGCTAATTACATAGCCCTCGTTGTTATTTTCTGTTTAAATAAAAAGAAAAATATACACAACAATTAAATAAAAAAAAACCAATTTGAGTAATAAATAATCTTAATTGTACAATACCAAACATACTCAAATATACAGGGCAGATATACAAACACGAGCTATTTCGCAAAAGCCTGTGTCTCGAAATTACTTTTCAAATAGTCACAGAATTTACTAAACATGTAAAATAGATGTATATTGACACTTGACAGTCTCTTCTACCCTAGAATATCTGGCCCGAAATTTTTTGGAATGACTTGCCAGTCACAGTGTCAAGTCTCTACAGCACCCGCATCTACGTCTGTTAGGATGATCTTAAGCAAAACGTGTCAACCAACATGATCATAGTTTCACGAAAATGGCGCCTAAAGACTTTTCGTTGTTTCTGATACTTTGTTCTAAAATTTACTTATAAAATGAAAATTGCTGTTGTCCTTGTTGTTGTTGGAGAATTATAGTAAAAAATCACAACAATTCATCATTTCTGAGATGACACAGCAAAAGTTTTCATTTTACATAAATTTTACAACAAACTATCAAAATTAACGAAAATATCTATGAGTACCATTTTCGCAAAACTATGATCTTGTTGGTTGACACATAATTTAGAATTTTTTACTTATTACATAAAATGCAATACAGACAGCCTTTTTATAATTATTTGATGTTTAGTATACACTCCTCTTGCCGGTATGGTGCAGCAAGCGAAAGCTATAATAGGTGAAGAATGAAAACCAGCAATGCTGAGACTTCATTCTTTTTGTTCACTTTACTGTTTTGTGTGTAAATAAATGTATCTTCTGTTATGTATTTGTGTATGTTGTGTAACTCGGATATATTATTTTGAAATATAACCATTAAGTTTTGTGTCCATGGATGCTTCAGTAAGTCTAATCCCCACTCTATAGATACTGAAAAAAATGTGATTGAATTTTTTAAATGTCAAATATACAAACGCTAGACCACATTTCACCAATGCCTCTACCACGAGTTGTCGCTAGCGACCGCGTAAATTACTAGCGATAATTGATACTGTAATCTCATGGTAGAGGCACTGATGTTATATGACAATGTGATCGATGGTAGCACGCATATGTATAAAAAATGCCAATTAACAGACCTAAATTGTAGGTAGATAGTCGAGGAAATGCAAATACCGGCTGTGTATTCCATTCCTTTGCCGCCATACGTCTTGGCAGGAAAAAGCAAAAAACAAGGAAAAATAAACAAGATGTTGTTTAAGGTGAAATAGTACCTAACGTGTTTCCATCTGAGTCTGGCAAGTACATTGATTGTTGCAACAATTTTAACTAATCAATTTAATCATATTGTGATTTTATTAAAGCACAGACCAGGGGGCCTAAAAAGGCCGCGTTGACAGACACATAATATGGATTGTCAAACAAAAAACACAATTAATCATAATTAATGATAATATGATTAATTGACAATTCATATTATGAATTTTCAAACAAAACAAAAAACGCAATTCGTCTATTTGACAGTGTTAAGGAGACAATCATATTATGATTCTGCCAATACGCTCTTTTCAGCCTTACAGGTAATTAAAGTCAAATTTTTTCAATGATACTTTTACATATTTTTCTCTTTTATTTTAGGTAAGCATTTGACCACAATCTTGTCATCAGTGACGTAATGTCCTGTAGCCAGAAATAAATACTAAATAATATTTACTACCTTCATTACGACAAAAGTTATTTCAAATTTCAGCCGACGACCTTTTTCCGTTAGCGGTCCGTTTTTATTGCTCATACATGTATTACGAACTATATGTATGTATTTCATTTGGAAAAGGTATACCATCGATAAATTTGTCAACAACATATGTTTTTAAATTATTAGGTATACAATGTATTAAAAAAAGAAAAAGAGATTTTGAAGATCTTCAGGTGCGGCCCATCGTGCCTATTTTTAAAGAGGCTTCTATACGTTAAAGCAAATATGTAATTTAGATTTTTGAAATACAAGTAAAATTTTTAGTCTTCTTCATTTTAACACGTTCTATAACAAGATTAGGTATTACTATTAATAAAAGGGCAAAATTGTAGTCCAATTTTTGTAACACCGTGACAAATTGTAAACAAATATAGTGACAGAGTACATAAGGACTATTACAGTCGTCACTGCTGGTTTTGTTACTACCCGCTGACATATCGTCCTCTTCAGAGTGAACACCTATCATATGTGATTTGTACCTAAGTATTTTTATGGGAAGAACAAAAAGTGTGCTGTAAAATATAGTAAGCGTAATATGTTCTTTTAAGCGTAGCATTTAAATAAAGTGTACCTCTTTTAGATGCTACGTCACTTTAATAATTACAATTATTATTATTCGCTTCCAGCACAAATGCATACGTTATACATATATGTCATACTGCGCGATACGATACGTATTGTTCGCCAGTTTTTGAACCTGAGTCCCTGAACGCGGACGACTGTATCGTTGTCGGGCAATACCGTCCCTCCCATTTAAAAATTCTAAATTTTCTTTTGAGTCATGGGAGAGGCGAGAGTCTACAATAGATATTCAAAATAATAATAATAATGTGACAAACATCCACACCAACTACCTTTTCTCAAACTAGGATATTCCCTATACTTTGAGCACCGGAGCAAAGGAATTCACTACGAGGCACTTCCCAGAACTCCCAGACCAGAATTAATTTAGAAAAGTTCATTTCTCAAATTGGTCCTCCTGGGAGTCGAACCCGGGTTCTCCACATCCAACTCTCATGTGCAAACCATTGGGTCACCGAGGTCCGCAAACTGATTTAGTTATTATTATTATAATTTGTTTAATAAAATACGAAATACGAAAAAATATCATCACACATAAAGAAATCAAATTTAATAAAGTTACTAACCTTAATTCAAACGAAACAAAATATAATAAGTAAATATTTTAATTATTTCAAAGTTTTCAAGCTTACGCTAGATATCCCTACACTTCAAAGTTTTATCCCCACCCACTTACAAACTGACAAAGGCCGGCTCTCAAAATACGTCCCCTTGATTTGTAAACCAATATGCTTGTGGTACCATTACCGTATTGAATTCGCTTTGAACTTTTAATAGAAATGTTTAATAGAAATACTAACGCCTGCCCGCGACTCTGTATTACATATATATATCGTGCCCTCGGTATAATAAAGTCACACATGAACACACGTCAATGTTGCTTTTATCATACGAAAGTTATAAAAATTATACGAACTTATGTATATACATAATATGTCCAATTTTATGACTCCTGTTTAAAATATTAAACAAATTAATAAATTATTATAGAATATTACTTTTGGTTTGTTACTAAGATTTTCAATTATTTCTGTGAAATTACTACACTAATTTGGTATAATTATTAATACAAAGATCGAACTTAAAGAAAAATTCCTTCGACATGACAGGACTAAAAAAGGGAAACCGCTCTACCAACTGAGCTACGTATCGATTCGACAGACCTGACGAATTTCTCAATGCGTTTGTTACAGTTTTTTTTTTACGGCTTTTTTACCGTAGCGCCACCGTGAGAAATTTGTGTTAGTAGCTCTAGATTGGCATACCGATGTTCGAGTTCTATCAGATTGAAAGAATGGTACTTGTACTGGATCTTTGTATTTTTTGTCTTTTTAATTAAAGATATTTGCTCTTGATCACTACCTAGCTCTGGAGTAAGGATCTACGATGGAACGAGCGCGTCCAGACGTTGCCTATTTAGTCGCACCATATACATACTCGGGGTGTATGAGCTCGGAAATACAGTCCCAGGCAGAGTATTCCATTCCTGGGCTGTGCGCATAATAGAAGATGATGAAAGGTGCCTAGTATGCCTGAAGGGATTTATAATAATAACTATATCTCCTATTTCGTAGCAGTAGAGCTCCTTGTGAAAGAGTTCGCCCAGGGTAGTACTGCCACGTTACCCATTTCTGCCGCCAAGCAGTAATGTCAGCATTGCTGTGTTCCGGTTTTGAAGGGTAAGGAGGCTGGTGAAATTACAGGCACATGGGACTTGTCAACTTATGTCTCAGGGTGACGGGCCCAGTGGTAGTGCCCTTCAGATCTTTGCAATTTAAAGCTCTGAGTGGCACTGTAACTGTTAGCTTTCCATCAGGCGCACGACTTGTTCGTCCTGTCATTTGATGTCATAAAAGAAATATTTAGGATTTGTATTAATAAATATATCTTCTATTTAAATTCGTGAAATCTGTAAACTTCTCTCCTGAAAACTTGTAATTTTGCGATACCTATAGACAGTGAGATAGCGTATCTTCGCGAAACTATTTCTGAATTTTTTTTATCGTGAAATGAAACAAAGACAATGTACGTATATTTCTGATAAGAAATTCATATATTCAAAATCACTCACATTAAACATTATTCACCAAATTCTCAGAAGAATAAGATCTCATTTCGTAATAATTCTCTTTGTAACCGTAATTGCAATATTGTGCGCACGATTCATTCGTTTCTTCGTACGCTCTATCCTCGTAGTCGTTTTCATATTCTTGTCCATATTCACAGCTCATTCTGTTTTGAATAGGTTCTCTGTTTTGGGTATTTCTGTTTGAGGAATCTATAGATTGCGAATTTACGTTCCACCTTTGAGAAATCGTGCAACCTAACGATCCACCGTGCTGAAAGGCGAACGGCCACGCCTGGAAACAAAAAATTGCTAATTAATAACTTACACAATACCTGATAAGAGCAGATAGGTGATGGTCTCGTTGATTCAGTAGTTATGCACCTGCTCCGTAGTTCAATTTGCAAATTAACCAAAATGTTTTAATATTGAGTTATTAGGTTTACCCGATTTTTACACATTTTAAATGAAACCTTTTTTTTCGGATCTAAATCGTATATATATATTTTTTCAAAGCAGCCAATTTTTTGGGTCTCCTTACAGGTCCCTTGGACACGGTTCTGTTCTCTTTCGCTTTTATCTGGTGTATTCATTCATAATAATGAAAGTCAGAGAGAACTACCTTCAAATAGGAACCAACTCAACTTTTTTAAAACCAGTAGAGTTCCTTGTGAAAGAGTTCGTCCAGGTAAATACGAAGAACAGGGAAGTGCCACCTTACCTATTTCTGCCGTCAAGCAATAATATGAGCATTACTGCGTTCCGGTTTAAAATGATTAAGGGAGTTCAACTTATGTCTCAGGGTGGCGGGCGCAGTGGCAGTGCCTGTAAGACAACATGCCAGGCGGACAACTTGTTCGTCCCGTCACTTGGTATTGTAAAAAAAACTTTAAATAAGTAACTATTTAAATTGTAGAATAATTTTTATGCTTAATCTGTGTCGCTTTTTATTTCAATTGTGCTCGTATTTTGTTATTTTTTTCTCGTGTTAAGTTGTTAAGTGAATGGATTTCTTTGTAAGAAAGAAGATTCTTAGTAAGAAATAAAATCTTGAAACCTAAATACGAAACCGCGACGGCAAAATCTAGGAATTGCGTTCGTTACAAAGGTAATTCGTTTTTTTTACTACGGGTAAAGACGTAAAACGAAGTCTGAAATCTGAATATTTTTCCTTCGCGAAATACTTATAAACGTTGGTGGTATTGAACGATGGTACAAGTGGTACGGAACGATATTACAACTGTGAGTTATTAATTACATACATTTATTTATACAAGGGCAGTTCCCACTGCCATGCTACATAGAAATGTAGGACCAATTTTATTCAGAGAGGCCATTTCATCAAAATCTGTGCAAATATGCTGTAATCATATTAATGCCTTAGTGTGTTGTTTTTTAAATTATTATATGTATTATAAAATATTTCGGACCCATATACCTCCCTTGGGAGACCCCCCAGTAACATAAACATCGTATTGAGGACGAAGCGGATTTTATTGCGACACACACTTGACCGCACTTTTTATGCAAACAAACAAACACTTTCGGTTGTATCTAGCTCTGGCGAACACGTGTTCCGGTTCGGAGAAATCCAAAAGGTCGATGCGGAGAAAATGAATATTTGGGTTAAATTAAAATTTTAAACAGTGGAGATTTTTAGCATGTTTTTTGAAATTTTTATTAAAGACAGTCTTTTTTCTTGGCTTTTCCCTATTAGAGTGTCAGCCTCTTATAAGCTTTATGACTTGTTTTTATAACGGGCAAACTTATAATAATAATAATTTGTTTTGTCCGCAAATGGGTTAATTCCAGTCAGCCTTTCTAACAGCTTGAGGCGGTTGGTCCTGCTCGATACGGCACATATTGTTCGCCGGTTCTTGAACCTGAGTCACTGACCCCGACCGACTATGCCAGTGCCGGGAAAAACCGCGTCTCCCATTTAAAAATTCAAAATTAATCTTTTAGGCCTTGGGAGAGGCGAGAGTCTAAAATAGATTAATAATAATTAAGTTAATAATTAAGGATTTGGAAGGAGAAAGAGTGAAAAAAAAGGGATCAGGCGAAGAACAAATATACAAATCAACTATAATTTCATAGATTTCTCATAGACGGCGCTATGGCAAAAACTCGTTAAAAAAACCAAAAACAAAGATCTGCAACAAGCACATACAAAAATTCGTAAAGTGCTGGGTTTGTTTCGTACACAGAACATTACATATCCGTGGTTCCGTAGCTCAGTTGGGAGAGCGCCAGACACGGTATGCTGAAGGCGCTGGTGTGAATCTAGCCGGATTAATGGAATGTTTCACAGTGTTCGTAATATTTTTTTTATTATTATTTTTCGTTCGTTCATTATTATTTTTATATTAGTAATTACAATGAAGTAGTAAAATAATTGCATATCATGATAGTGCAACATCGTGATATTCAATAAACTGTAACTGCCTCTGTGACCGAACGGTTATCATGCCGGACTGCCACGCAGAGGTCTCAGGTTAGATTCTCGTTCCGAGAGAAATATTAGTATGGCCTATATTTATTTCTCTCGTGAGTTTGAGTGTAATTTATGGTTGTCTATGTGTGTGTTCATGATACCCACTATGTGTGTGTGCGCGTTATTATTGTAATTATTAACTTAATATTACAATTACTTTATATATAGTACCATTACAACAGATAAATGTTTATATTTCTTTCTAAAATAAATCTAGAGGGATAAGTTGCAGACGAGTTATTGGACAATAACAAAAGATAGAAGGATTGGAAAAGATTTCTAGAGCAATTTATAAAGATGTGATTCAAATTGCCAACTTCGCCGCACTCACACAAATCGTCTAATGATGTAATGTCTGTTTGACTTTGACCGTAAACTAATTGAGTTTTGTATCGTTCAGAAAATACGGATATCAGCAATTTCTTTTTATGACACAAAGTGAGGAAAGTACAAGTCGTGCGTCTGGTGGTAAGCGACACGTCTATTGGTAACAGTTCCTGTGTCAATCAGAGCTTTAAATCACAAAGATCTGAGAGGCACTGCCACTGCGCCCGTCATCCTAAGACAAGTTGACAAGTCTCATGCGAGTGTAATTTTACCTGCACCCTTTCCTTAAAATCGAAACACTGTTTGTTCACATTACTTGGTGGCAGAAATAGGTAAGGTGGCAGTACTTCTCTGGACAAACTCTTTCACAAGGAGCTCTACTGCTACTTCCACTCTTTGGCTGTATACGCGGTAAACGCCAGTGAATGTTGGTTTTTATCTTTTATATGTGAGAGACAGATGACTCTACTACGCCTGACCATGAAGGAGCCTAGTGCCGTGTTGATACAATTATCGCTCTAGTCACCTCCATCCTGCATGTGTATAAGATGCCTCTTCACGCTCGTTTGAAGGACCCTAAATCATATAAGGGAAAGGGAGGTCCTATTGTCGATTGTGTGACAGAGAAATGTGCCTCCAAAACTTTTAAGTTCGCGATGGCATGCGGCAGGTTGTAAAACGGTGTCTACGGAAGCCAGCACGCTTACTTCTGAGGAATATTGTTGGGCAATCTTATAAAAAAATATCTCAAGTCGAAATCTAAATTCAATTCTATTATTCACGTGTAAAACTGATATAATATACGTCCACTTAAGGCAAGTTCATTGATATAATTTATAATAATGTAGAGTCGTAATAAGTACAGTACAGTAACAAGTAACTTAAGTCGTATTATGTACACACTTTGGTACCTATTTAATGTTATATTAAAGCTTACTAAACTTTGAAGAGTTCACATTACGGACTAACCAACCCTTATTTGAAACACAGTCAAGTAAACAAGACAAAGAAGAAAACAATAAACGTTAGCTCTTAACGTCCGGAGATAAATTTTATTTATACGCTCAACAGCTGCAAACTTTTGGTCAGCGCGCGCACAACCCGTTAAACGCTTTTCGTTTGTTTTTGTAACCTTTTTTGTTTTAAACTCTTCCTGTAAATATTTGAGTTTAAGTTGAAAGGACTTTTATATGTAGGTTGACCACTTGTTATGATTTTCATTCTTCTTCTTCAGTCTTTTATGACAAAGACCAAAACTTGTCCTGGATAGTGGTAGTAGGTAGTGTCTATGCTCAAACTCTGTTACCTTAAAAAATATCTGACCATATTTGCTGAGCGTTAATGATTACTTTATATCTATAATAAGCATTTTGAACAAATTAATCTTAAATAAATACGATGTATTTAAACAAATATATTTATTTTTAGAGACGGAACACCGTCAAGTTTTAGTTCTACATTCGTTTTGGATGGAAGGTATCACGAGATTTTCCTGACTTTAAAAAGAAAGGAAAAATCGAGAGTGAATTGACATTTGCTAAATAAATGCTTAACATTACATGGACGACCTCAGTGGTCGAGTGGCTTGCGCCCCGGTTTTCAAAGTATCCCGGGTCCCGGGTTCGGCTCCGACCTGGTCTATGAAGAAAAAACTTTTCCATATTGTCTTGTTTGGGTGTTTGTGGTACCGTCATCGTTGTTTCCGATTTTCATAACACAAGTTTAGCCACTTACTTTCGGATCAGAGCAATGTATGTGATGTTGTCATTAGACAAATAAATATTAATTTGTTAACTGATGTCAAAAAAGGAGGAGGTTCTCAATTCGACTGTATTGTTTTTGTATGTTACTCGATTGCACAGGAATTTGTTAACCGATTTGATGACTCTTTTTTTGTTGGAAAAAGGGTACCTCAGTACAGGTCCCATTTAAACTTGAAGAAATTATTCCAATTATAAGGGTGGCAAACTAGGGGATGAATCCGGTTTCACAAATTTCCGGTAACAGATTTCAATAAAACTTGGCAAATAGATGTAATTCCACGAGCTTTTCATGTCGGTCTTTTTTAACAATAAATAAAGTTATAATTAGGAATCTTTTTTATTATTTATACGTGGTAATGAATAATAAATAAAATTCCTGAGGTCGATTCCTGATAAATAAGAGGTCCTGGTCAAACTTGTGTCTATTTTACATTAGTAAAAGTCAAGCTTATACGCGACTTTTAAGTCGTATCGGTTCTGAAGAATAAGGGTACTAATGAAATTACAGGCACATGGGACTTGTCACTTTTGTCTTAGGACGGACGCAGCGGTAGTGACCCTCATAAAGAAATTTTATTATTATTATTAATGAACTAATTAAGACCAGATAAAAGGCAGAGAGAACATAAAAGCCTTGACCAAGGGACCTGTAGTAGCAGTAGAGTTTGTTGTTAATGAGTTCGTCCAGAGAAATACTGCCACCTAACCGCCAAGCTGTAACGTGAGCATTACCGCATTCCGATTTTTAAGGGTAAGAGTGATGGTGAAAGGTACAGGCATGTGAACTTGTCAACTTATTTCTCAGGGTGACGGGCGCAATGGCGCAATCATAGATATAGGATGGGCGCAATGCACACTGCATTCCCTTGCACCTCACATCTTTGCGATTTAAAGCTCTGAATAGCACTGCAACTGTTATGGATAGGCGTGTCACTTACCACGAGGTGCACGACTTGTTCGTTCCTACATTTGCTATAAAAATAAAATCTTGTATTCTAGTACCATCAGTTAACTTTTTGTATTCGCCATTGTTCATGCAGTTGCAAGCAATCTGACTTAATACCGCCATCAATCAGGCATAGGGCCTTCGCGGAACGTGTCCGCTAATCCGCGACGACGCAGTGGCGTTTAGCAAATGCTTGCCACGCGTACCGTACTTTCAGGGTTGGATTTAGTAGATAGAAGATTTGTTTTATGATAGGTAGGTAGGTAAGCTATGTTGCTCAAGTAAAGCCACATGCGATCATACGTCAAAAATGCTATTATCACGTGCAAGTCATAATAATAATACGAACTACACGAAACAAATTATGAAAATGTGAAATTTAATAACTCTTTACAAATTAAAATTATTTTTTTCGGATCTAAATTGCTTATTTTATATTTGCTTTTTCTGAGAAAGAAATATTTTGGACTCTTTACTGGTCTCATGGTCACGGTTGACTGACGTAAAAATGACAGATGCAGAAAATAAATATAGGTACTTGGTTTAGGTCCAAAAATATAGTTTCATTTCCAATCTCGATCTTGAAATCGATATTTTATAACTCTACTATTTCAACATCAGAAAGTTATCGATTTATTTCATTCGTAGAATCTTGAAACATCTCTCCTGAAAAGTTGTCATTTTGCACGTGTGGCCTTATTATAATACCAAGAAGGGTGCGAATATCATCTGTCTATTAAAAAAAAAATCACTGAGTTTTTCTTTCTTTTTATTGTACTTGTCATTATTAATGATGATTTCATTGAAGGCCTATTATCAGTGATTGATGGACTGGCTCTATCATATTCATAGACATAACTACTTTGGTTAATCAAATAGATAAACATAATATTGTACGTATTTCTTTTTGTCCTTTAACACATACGAAAATTCAATGCGTATTGCACGTACCTAGATCAAATTCATAAACTAACATTTTAAGCCAAATCACCTTTAAATAAATTAAGATTTTAATATTAGTGTAGGTATCATTATATTATTTATATATTATATATGGTGTACGATATAATGTAGTTGATGTACACATCTCACTCGTTAGTGTGATTTGAGGATAACTTACTTAGCTTTGTTCTGTTTTATACATTTAGATGTAACCTAGCAATAATAAGCTGTTATTCTCCCTAATGAAATAAATAAATAAGAAAAGTTTAACTCCAATTGATCACGAATACAATACCCGTCAACAGCTCCAAATCCGGGCCCTGATTCATAGCGGCATCAATAGGCATGTCCCGTGGCGGTTCCGACGAATTACCGAGATGACAAGTGTGACAGGGAATAAATTATCAGTAAATGTGTGATCATTTCAGCCGCGGCTATTAATGTGTTACAGCTTTTTTAGCCGTAAATTGTTTGTGAAATTTTGGCACTTTCGTTTGACGGTGAATTAAAGTAACGTATTTATCTTCTTTTTATTATATTTCTATACCCACCAGTCTCGTTTCAGGAAAGGATAATAATGGGGTGCATGAAAAGAGCCTCCTCGCAATAGCGTACTGTTCGTGTCCGCTCTACGTCTGGGACACCTTGGCCAGCAATCGGTACATTACGCCAATTGACAAATCGTTTCATCACGATGGGAAACATGTCCCACACTTCAGCATGGTAGCTACTACTAGTGACGCGAGTAGCGGCAGTCACTTCTGTGTCATATTAATATAATATTGCCATCGATATGATAAGAAGAAGAAGGAAAGGATAAAATGTCAGTAACCCACCCCGATGACTTGAAGTTGTTGAAAGTAAGCCTGATTTTCAAAGTGCTTGTCAAAATCCATGTTTCAATTAGTAGGTACTGTTTTCAAATTCTTAGAGTAACGGAAGAACTTATTATTATTAATACAGATACTTCGTAACCTTGGCATATAACAAACTCATAGGCGTTCATACGACAAAAGTGCTTTTATCACATGAAAGTTGTGACAATTAAAACTACCTACATGAAATAAACTATATATATGTGAAATTTTCTCTCTTTGTCCTGTTTAAGCATAAAAAAGTTAACGATTAATTTCGTCCGTATAATCTTAAAACTCTCTCCTGATAAGTTGTAGTTTTGCTGATGTGGCCTTATTAACAACAAGGGTGCCATTTCGAAAATGCACGTGTTTTCGGTAATTTTGTCATTGATTCATGAAGGCAGACTTCTCTACGTGCTTCCTGATAAATTATCTAACTAAGAGACAAATGTGACGGAGAAAGATTGTGAACAATCGCGTGATTGACTTTACAATTTTGTGACAAATGGGACACAATTTCTTATAGTCACGACTTGCTTGTTATTGCTATTTTTTATTGGATTCAGGTATACTAAACCGTTTTTATTTGATGCTAATATATTATTCCATTGTCATGGATTATGTTATTCACGTTATTAACTTTGAGAAATATCCTTACTTCTTCATAATAAAGTTTAGGTGTTGCGTAAGATATAGCAGCACCCTTGGTGTAATAAGGCCACATCGGCATAATGACAACTTTTCCAAAAAGAGGTTTAAAGAATGTACTAATAATTAGTCGATTACTGCACTTTAATCTGTCACTCATAATTTTATAAACCATATCACAAAGACCCTCTTTTTAGTTCTGAATCAGAATTCGATTGTCCATCGTACTGGCTACTGACCTGAAAAATTTCATTATATAACCAATATACACAATGCTATAATGAGTATTGTAGTTCTGTACACAAAAGTTTTAAAAAACGTGGTACTTTTGCTAATTAAAATATCAAATATGGCGCTACACAAACGCTCTACTGCCTCCTGATTTATTAAATTGGCGTAAAGACTTTGCAACCATGCCTTAAACCTTCATTAAAAAAAAATTAAGATTAAAATATAAGTGGTATTTGGCCACTTCTATTCTACCTCTTTTGTTTATTTGTTTTGTAGGGTTTACTTGGTTTTCGTTATCATGGTTTGTTAACAAAATATACCTACATTCAATACTGGTTGTGATTCATTATTTTATTAACTAAGAGAAAAAGTATTGTATGCAATGATTACATAATTAGGACTTAAAATCTCGTACCCATTACTTAGGCCACGAGGCTTTGCCGAGTAACCAACAAAAACACGATACTCGACTTTAACCAACCCTCATTATGCAACAATTGCATAATACTATATGCTTAAACACAGAAATCATACAATTTCACTTTCATTATGTATTGCACAATTTCATGATTTGTTTCACGTATTTCAGGTATTTGTTTCCTATTATTTTTATGATTTTCACGTCATAAATGCACTTTTGAAGATCACATGTGGCTTTTTATTTATTTATTTATCTTATAAAGTTTATATTGAACAATTATATTATTATAAAATAAAAAAATAATAATAAACAAGAAATAACAGAAGGAGGTAAAAGGTAAGTAGAATACACACTTAAAACAACAAAACGTGGTCAATCATGCCGTCAAATAGGTACTCTAAGAAAAAGACTTACGAGGCTTAAAGGATGCGGCGGCGTGTGCGCTGACCTAGGCTCGTGTAGTAGAGCTCGTAAATGCGCTATGTAGGAAGCAGCGAGTCGTAATGTATCCAGCTTTGATAGCTTAGTATCCGCCGGTACCCACGGTAAGGTTGTTTTTAGCCTGTGACATAGAAAAGTGCAAGTTTTTACATAAAGGTAAGATTTAAGACCATCGAATATATCTCAGCATGTCAAAAGTTAAAAAAAAAAAAAAATAAAGCAAATCTTTCTAACCTTAAAAAAGACATCGGTGAAAAAATCTTATAATTCATATTAACAGTGGTTACACACGACGACTTTTGGTAGCGATGCAAACGCGCGTCCTTGAAACGCAAACTTGAAAACTTGCGATTTATAGACGATTGCATCGATGCAAACTCACGATTGCATCGATGCAATCGTCTATAAATCCCAAGTGTAAAGTCGCTGTGTGTAACCGCTCATACTTATACTTAGGTATCTTGTCAAATAGACTTCTCGTTACTCTTAGATAGTTGACATTAAAATCTTTAACGATTGATTTTTATTTGTTTTATATTCTTCGAGTATTCTTATATAGTGAGACAGTGTTTATTTCATCAAAATTAAAACGCCAATTTAAATTCATCTAAATAGCGACTTCTAAAGAAATAGCAATAGTATTAAGACAGATATAATATAATTTATTGTAACCATGCTATAAGTACAGATGTTACATGTAAATAATAGTATCATAGGGTATAGCAAATTGTACTTAAATGTAGTTTGTATTATAATAACTTTTTCAACACATTTGCTCGTAACGGGCTTCTTATTGTATCGCTTTTAGGCTCATAAACCTAGCTATTGAACACGCGTTTGTAATTATATTACAAAACGTGTGTGTAATAAGTATAGGCTTAACCGGATTAAGATGTATCTCACAACAAGGCCTATGTTTTAAAACTATGCATTCTTAAATTATCCGGGTTATGTCTTTGAAATTAACTTGGTCTATTAAAAAAACAGCTCTAACCTACATATTATAAGATTCAAATTACAATGACAGTAATCCCAAACAAACAGGGTCACAGTTTTTTTTTTATTTCTGTTTAATACGGTTGTGTAGTCTTACCTTACAAATAATATTTTTATTAATAAATTTATATTTCTTATTTGATGTGATAAATATAGAAAAACATACACAATATACACCTATAAAACTTTAATTGAATAAAATTACTTATTTTGGATAATATTTTACACGAATTTGAGTGAAATAAGGACATATTTATATTATTTCGCATTGGCTGTTTAGGAATTTCACCTAAGTCTCATTATTGCCGAAGCACCTGCGCGCGCATATCCGCGCCGCGGCGCCAGGCGCAGAAAAAATAACTCTGCGCGCCAATTTCCATTGATACGTTCGAAACATTTATATACGCTGTGTGTTAGATAATTACCTAGGTGTTTAAAATGTCCTGCTCAAGCACGGAAGAAAACATTTTGATGGATTTAACACCGCCCGAAATCCTCACAGAGGCACAAAACGCAAGTGACAGTTTATTACCTTCGAAATCCAGAGAAAAATACATGGCTGCATATGAAACTTTTATACAATGGAAAACCAACAAAAAAGCGTCTTCGTTTTCAGAAAATGTTTTTCTTGCCTATTTTAATGAACTGGCGAATAGGTTTAAGCCCAGCTCGCTCTGGTGCATTTATTCTATGTTAAAGACCACAGTAAAGAACAAGAATAACATAGACATAAAAAGCTATTCAAATCTGACGGCATTTTTAAAGAGACGCTCTGATGGGTATGTTGCAAGAAAATCGAAGGTACTTTCGCCAACTGACGTCGAAAAGTTTTTAAAAGAAGCCCCCGATTATCAGTATTTAGCAACAAAGGTCAGTTGATCGTATTAAACCTTAATTTTTTTATGTTTTCATTTTTCTTGTATTATATTTGCGAAAATACCTATATTTTTAATTTCTTTACAGGTTGCAATGATATTTGGTGTCACTGGCGCGTGTAGACGCCAAGAACTAAGCGAAGTAACGGCAAAAGACGTAGAAACTCATGGCCAAATGCTTTTGATTAAAATTAACAACACTAAAAATAAGGTACCGAGATCGTTTGCCATTCACGGTCCATTTTACGACATAGTAAAAAAGTACGAAGCGCTTAGGACAGATAAGGCAAAATCCGATAGGGTAGATGCGTGGCTCAGCCAATAGGCATTAATAAATTTGGTGCAATGCCTAAAGAAATTGCCAAGTTTTTAAATCTACCCGACCCGGATTTATACACTGGGCATAGTTTCCGAAGAACATCAGCTACATTGCTAGCTGACTCGGGAGCTGATTTGCTTACTTTAAAGCGTCATGGTGGCTGGCGATCTAGCACAGTTGCTGAGTCTTATGTTGAAGATTCAGTTCGAAATAAGTCCAACATATGTACTCAAATAACCCACGCTATAAATCTGGAGCCCCAGGTTAAGAAGATGTGTCCTGAACCGCAGCCATCCACCTCCCGTGATACAAGTTATTTGTTACCTAGGTTGTCTATTTCTGAGTCTTTAAATGAACCACCACCACTTTCATCCATATTTGTACACAATGAACCCGTATCACCGACTTTTACGCAAGAAGACAATAATGAAATAGTAACAAATAATATCACACAGACGGTTCAAATGCCTAACAAAACTGCACGTTACCATTTTGAAAATTGTACATTTAACAATTGTTTTAATAATTAAATTTAAATAACTACATTTTTGATAAAATCAAGATACAATGACTTTGATAGGCTTTGGAGACTCTTAATTAATTGCTATTGATAGATATAGTATAGAATAGAATAATATTATTTACATTAACGTGAGCTTAATATAGTATTCAGTGTATCTGTATAATTAATGCCAAATAAAGCTATTTTTCATTTCCATTTTACTCAAGTTTGTTTCATTTTCCTCGCAAATGTGTTGAAAAACGTCGTATGAAACACGTGTGCTTTGATCATTACACTCTCGGCTTTCTTATCGCGCTCGCCTGCGGCCCGCGCGAGTAATAACGCCTCGTGTGTAATGACCAACTTAGCACACTTGTATCATAATGTACTATTAATATTAATTTCTTTCAATAAGGTATTATAAATATAAATAGAAGCTATTTATATATAGATATCGTATTGACTGAAAAAGTACGAAAAGGTTGTACACATTTTCAATTTTATTTTTACACTCAAATTATATTGACTTTAATCATAGCCTATCAAAATACTTGCTGGACTAAATCACAACATGGTTCACTTCATTCCTTAAAATGGTTGCCGCAATCATTGAAATTGTGGCTGCGGTCATGCACTTGGTACGCTCAAAACATGTTTCTAGGAAACAAGTTATATACGATTACATTAAATAACATCTTGTTTATATCAATCACATTGTTTTAAGTGTACAATGGTTGATTAAATTTCTGTTAAAACTAGAAAATGAACCATGCGTCTACGGTCGCTTAGCAAACAACACAGTTCAAGTCATTTAGAATAATTTTGAATGAGAGTAAAAAACATCGTTTAGGTATTACACAAGGTTTTTCAAGCTATTATTTTTTTATTTTTTTTTATTTATTTATTGTACAAAGGACAAAATACACAAATATGTTTCTAATCGCATTTTAAACCACTAAGGTTTGTCATAATGCGACCTGTATCTACACAATACAAATTTGAACATGCTAGCAGAAGCTTATATTTAAGTGTAAATATTTAAGTAATTTGTATAAATAATCTATAATATATATGTTATTAAAATTAATAAGATTGGGTAAATACATTCATCCTATTATATTAAATGTTCATCACATTTTTTTAAGTTTTGTACAAAGTAATCTTTAAGTTTATGTTTTATATTAATGGTTGTTAAGGTATTTCGTAGTTCCAGTGGTAACTTATTAATAAGTCGGGGAAGAAGGTAGGTAGATGTTCTTTCGCCGTACACATTATTCGCGCGACTCGTTAGCAACTGGTCCCCAGCCATCGCTCGCGTACACACGGGGTGATGTATTACTTGTTTAAGATCGTTGTTAAAAAACATAGATTTTAAAAACATACTTTAATTGGGTATAAACAGGTAAGATTCTACAATGTTTGAAAAGACCAATATCATTATCCTTCATTTGAAGTCGGATTTTATTTGATACAATGTGTCTTAGAATATTAACTTGTAGGTTATATATTTTATTTAAGTATGAGTTAAAGGTACGACCGTAGCTACATAAACCATACTGAATATACGATTCTGCTAACGAGTTGTAAAGCATTAGTTTGACTTTAAAGGGGATTCTTTTCTTTAATATTATCATATTAGCCAAAAATTGCCTCAGTTTATTACAAATATATTCTATATGGCTACTCCAATTAAAGTTATGACCTATTTGTAAACCGAGATAAGTCTGGCCATTTACAACATCTATACAAGGGCACTCGCAGCTACCAGTTTTTGGGTAGTGAAGACAATTATGATTACGTGCCACGATGCTTTTTATCTCTGTGGATTTAATGTAAGGCGATTTTATTATTAGTAGTTTGGTCTTAGAGGTGTTGGAACAGGTATTTTATTTATAATATTTATTTATTTACAAATAATTACATTGTGTTGGTAATTTTTTTTTATATTCCTGTTTTATTTTGATTTAAGTAACGTTTAAAGGAAAAAACCGTCTATTTTCGACTTGAGTAGCAGTAGAGCTCCTTGTCAAAGAGTTCGTACAGGGAAATATTGCCAAATTACGTATTTCTGCCACCAAGCGGTAATGTGAGCATTACTGCATGTCGGTTTTGAAGGGTAAGTAAGGGTGTTGGTGAAATTACCAATTTGTCTGAAAAAAATATGAACTTGTCAAGTTATTTCTCAGGATACCGAGCGCAGTGGTAGTGCCACTCAAATCTTTGCGATTTGAAGCTCTGCAGCTGCTATGGACAGGTTTTCTAAGCGAAGATATACCGATTAGCGATCTATTCAGATCGCTCAGTACGCTAAACTGAAAAACGAATAGAGATTGTTAAAAACTTACCTGCAAAAAGCTTTAGAAAGCACCCTCATTCTGGCCCGCTCCCGAGCATTTGCCGCATTTCTATGCTGCGGCTCATGGCCGCTACGACCTGGTCAAAACAATATACAAGGTTAATTTTAATTCATCCGAGAGGAGAAGACATTTATGATATTAAAAGTAACAACTTTTGGTTGAGACGACTTTTACAACCGTAAAAAATACATTTTTAATCCTTTACGCAACCAATTGCACATTCTAAGCAGATTTGTAAGTGGAACCCATAAAATAAATGTTTGATCGACAGATACACACTTTATACCTACATCGATACGACACAGTATAAAAACATGAGCTGCCGGTTATCAGTCGGGTTAGGATCACAAAGAAATAGACAAAATGAAGACTAAGTAATTTGTAAGCAAAAACAAAGTAGAATTCGTAGGTTCTCGCGATTGTTAAAAAGGAGGAGGTTCTAAATACGACTGTATTTTTTGTATGTATGTTACGAGATAACTCATATTTGGTTATTTGTGGACCGATTCTGATAATTCTTTTTTAAATTTTTATTGAATTGATATTCAATTATTTTTGTGAAATTAGTCCACTAGTTTGTTATAAATATTAATACAAAGATCGAATTCTTTTTTGTTGAAAATAGGATACCTCGGAAGTGGTCCCATTTAAACTTAAAGAAAATATTCGTCCTCTAAGGGTGGCAAACTAAGGGATGAATCCGGCTTCACGCACCTTCCGGTAACCGATTTCAATAAAACTAGGCAAATAGATGTAATTTCACGAAATTTTGAGGTCAGTTTTTTAGTAGGTACTCTGTACTGATTATTTGCGTATATTTGTTTTGTCATGCAAACCAACGTTTCGGGCTTTTCGGATAGAGTCAACCCTGACCATAATATTTGTGAAAATCCGAAACTTTGTTTTGTTCGAAAAAAAATAGAACAGATTCGCTCCGAAAAAAATAGTGTCATATTTTTATGACTAAAACAATGAAATATAAATAAGTATTATTTGAAATTTTATTATTATATATATTACCTTACCTGAACTCGATTGACTATCATCGAACATAAAGTCGTCATCGTCCACTTCTTCCATCCGTTTATCTACGGACGACAATCTCACTTTTTTTCTAGGCATTTTATTATAAAAAATATTGCACCAAACACATTTATAAAAGGTTACAATTTACACTTCACTATGATAGATACATTTTTGAAAATAATTATTATCTGAAAGCCAACTCCAGGGGTGTGTATTCTCTATCATGCGGGACGCTTATGATTTGAGTGCGTCTGCGCAAGGCGGGCGGCCGAAAGCGCATTTGGGCGGCGCTTGTAAAAGCCCCACCCGAAAATTTCAGTCCCGTACTATGATATCCTTAACTCTCAAACCATAACATTAATTTACGTAGCGCTTTCTTGGTTTCTTGGGTTTGTTAAGAGATATAATACCATTTCGGTTCAGAAAATACAGTTGCGAGATACCGTGGTACAGAGGAAAATTTGCAGACAGCAAGTGATCGTTTGTTGAGAGTGTAAATAAGGAGACTAAGTATTAATATTTTCTCGTGATGCAGAATTTGAGTTATGTTTTAACATTTGTTCACGTTATAGAGAAATATTGAATGTTAATTTTTAAGTAAGTGAGAATGAATATCCTTAGAAAATTTAACCTAAAAACATACAGCAATAAAAACAACTTAACACTATGGAACAGGAAGGAAGATAATTTCAACATTGTTCTTCTTCAGTGAATTTTATTTTGCTAATATTTTTAACTTAATTGCATTACTATATGAAATACAACATTTTAGATAATGCATTTCGTATGGCGAAAGGTGGCTACACAAACCACAAAATTTGGAATTTATGAGTTATTAGTTTTCATTTTCATTTTTCAGACAAAATCACGCAGCCTTACATTTTCAAATTAAAGGTTCCAATCAAGTGCAGAGTATCTTCATTAGATGTGTAAGCAAATTTTACATGAAATCACAAAATTAATTAAATATTATAGTCGAGCAAAGACCTGCCATCTTACCTTACGTGAGAGGTGTTACAGACAAGATCGGAAGATTTCTCAGTTCCTGAGACCCGTGAAATGTAACATCACCTTACAGGATGCAGGAGTTTACAAGTTCGATTGTGAGTGCGGTCTCTCTTATATTGGCTAAACAAAGCGAAGTATTTGTACCCGCGTCAAAGAACATATAGCTGATGTCAAACACCGTCGCGTAAACAAGTCTGCAGTCTGCGAGCGTGTCATGGATAAACATTAAAACATTCAATGAAGTTTGACAAACCCCAGGTCCTTGCAAAAGAAGTCGGTTATCTACCTAGGATGCTGCGAGAGGCCATTGAAATTAAAAAACATCCAAATTTCAACAGGGAAGATAGTTTCTCCGTACCACCAGTTTGGGATCCAGTATTTCCTCTAATGAAAAATCCCAAACAGACATAAGACTGCAGTACTAATTAATATGTTTTAGTTTATTCTAATTTCTATTAATAATTAATAATAAATTGAACTTAACAAAAATTCATTCAATAAAATAATTTGTAAAACTTAATGTAGCGTAAATTGGAATGTTTTCTTTGTAAAATTAAAAATAAGGTATTTAATTCATAACTATAGTGAAAAAATAGGGCGGTTGCATCAATATTAGACATAACTGGTTGAAGACTGTACCACCTCAGTCAACCGTGACCATGAGACCTGTAAAGGGCCCGAAACGACGGTTTGTTTGAAAAAACAAATATACGCGATTTAAATCCGGAAATTTAGTTTCATTTCCTATGTGTAACAATCACGAAAACCTAAGAACTCGATAATTAAATATTACTATTGATTCGTAAGGCCATCTTCCTGACGAAACCAATACGAAATTGTTGGGGGTTGCTCTTTGTAATTAAGATATTTATTCACAAAATATTTACAATATTTATTTTGAAATATAGGTAGAAACAGTCTTAGGAATTAACTTATTTAAAAAAATTAAGAACTCCATGAAATTGTATCATCCAAATAAGCAAATACTACTTATTATACTGTTCTGTATAATAAATTTACATTTCATATAAAATTTTGAACCTCGAATAGAAATTTCCGATATAAGGATCTTATGTGACCCGCAACACAGGGTTTCCCTAGTGCGGGGCTATGTTGAGTGTGTGCGTTATTATTATATTATAATTATTAATATATTTCAGAATCATTCGCTTCCTTGCCCTTCCGATGAATGTGTTACTTTGTACACGACTGTCAAGAACAACCGATTTATTTTAGTTCCTTGTTAATACAAGATATGTATTCTACTAGCTGGTGCCCGCGACTTTGTCTGCGTAGAATTTTAATTGCGCGGACAGCAAAACAGAGCCATTTCGCCAAGTTATTAGTTATTCGTGGGCACTAATGAAATTTGGCATATAAAGTACCTAAAGTTTACTTAAAAATACAACTGTATATATACAAGGTGTTAACGAGCTGATCTGGGAACAGAACCTGACTGATAAGGTCCCTGTGCAGGCTTGCTTGTACAGGTAATAGTTACCTTGTTGGGTAGGGAGGGCACTATAATATTTTTTTTGTGTAAGCCCGCACTAGGGAAACCCTGTGAGGCGGGTGCCATGGACACATACGTAGACAACCACAAATTACACCCAAACTCACGAGAGAACTAAATATAGGCTATGCAAATATTTCTCCCGTCGGGCCGGGACATGGAGGCATGTAGAGACATGGCAGACCAGGATGTTAACCGTTCGGCCACGGAAGCAATTTCAAAAAGGATGGCATCTACAAGGGTAAATTGTTCATTTCTAACTATAATGTTGGTGGACACACAGGTTCCCAAACTTTTTCATGTACCCACTTAAGCAAGAAAAGAAAATTATTATACTAGATAAGAAACAACGCCCACCACCACAAAAATAATAATTTTTTACATTAATTTAACACAAAAATATACAGATTAATCTAACAGATTTTTTTTCAAATACGATAGCGTCCCCTGGATCAATTGCCCGCCCCCAATTGCTTTCGAGGCCCATATCCCACCTACACCTTAGACCTCTTCAGCGCCCAGCGAGAAGGAGAACAGGAAGATCCAGCTTGGTTGGACAGCGTTTGCAAAACTACGTCGATTCTTCTCATCACCCACACCGCAAAGTTAGAAAACAATAGTTTTCGATCAGTGCGTTTTACCTGTTATGACTAGAGATGGGAAAAACTGCTTATTTTTTTAAACTTTGAAACGTTGTAGCTTTTTAAAAAAAGCGTGTCTTATAATACGCTTTTCACTACGCTTTTTAGCTTGAAGCTTAAAAAATCGTTTAGAAAAACGATTAAGCGCATAGACATTTTTGTTAAAAAAAGCTTGAAATGTTGTGTTGATAGCCAAAGGCTAGAGTAGACTACTAAAGGTTTTAAGTTTCTTTGTAAAACAAGGGTTTTTAATTTTCACGAGTTTGAATACCTAACGAGGTCATACGTATTTTTACATTGTGGAATGCAATAAATTACTGATTACTGAAATTACTGATTACTGATTACTGATTACGTCAGAGAACTAAAGTGACCGACATAGCTCGCAAAATCACTAAGTTTAAGTGGCAGTGGCCCGGGTATGTCTGCAGTAGGGTTGATCGCTGATGGAGCAAACTTGTTCTGGAATGGCGACCACGTCAAGGAAAACGTAGTGTCCAGTGTCCCACACCACGCCTTGCGGCAAGATGAACAGACGACCTGAGCAAGGTAGCCAGGCAGTGGCTGGATGCGTGCGGCACAAGACCGGGAGAGTTGGCGTGCTCAAGGGGAGGTTTATTTCCAGCAGTGGATGTAAGCAGATGATGAGTTTTATTTTTATTTACAAAATTATTATTCAGATTGACAAATTAATTTGTTTAGGAAACATAAATGGGACTTGACACTTTTGTACAAAAATAAATCGTTGAGTATAGAACTGATCGACTCTTACGCTTAAAATAAAAAGCGTGCTGAAGTGCTTATTTAAAAAAAAAACTTTTTAAAGTGATTTTCGTTTAAACGCCCACCTTATGACATACGGTGGACATTGGACGGTGGACGTTCGGACGGATTGTGGACGGTGGACATTCACGATACGGTTTTTTCACTAATTCAAGGTCGCTAAGCGAGCTATGGAACGAGCTATGTTCGGAGTTTCTTTGAAGGACAAAGTACGGAACGAAGTTACCTGACAGAAATGATCATGAGGATGATTATGGTTTAATATTAGGTAAGTTTTGCTCTTTGGCAAGCATGTCTTTATAAATACTTTTGACGTTAAATAATAAGTAAGTATCATCCTCTTACCATTAACAGTGTACTAATTAGAAAAGCTTATTATAAAATCAATGATTCAGTACATAGATGATATACGAACGTATGGTGTACCTACTTCCAACTATTGAATGTTTTGTGATGATATAAAAAAATCATTCTGTCGTGCTCCTGATGGTAAGCTACACGCCTGCCCGTAACAGTTGCAGTGCCACTCAGAGGCACTGTCAATTGCACCCTTACCCTTCACAACCGGAACACCGTAATGCTGACATTACTGCTTGGCGGCAGAAATAGGACATGCTAAGAACCAGTGGTTTTTTTGTTTAATGTGGCGATTTCAAGTGTAATTTATTACCTACGGAATAAAGATACTTGATTTGATTAGATAATTCTATGTCATGTTTATACTCTCCTCATGAGCCATTAATATGAATTAAAAACAGAAATATACCTACAACAAAATATTGAGGAACTCTACCAAATACTAATTAATTACAGACCCAAATGATCTCACTCTCGTACACCCTCGGGACCATTTCACTCAAATAGCATTTAAGAAGGTCGAGGTCACAGTCCTTCCTAACCATTTCCTAACACAAAATTTTCCATGAATTAAGTTGTCACTGTAAAAATAAGCACTCAGCTGATTAAGTTAAGTTTTTCCAAAAATTTTACTCAGAGAAAAGGTTTTAAATGGGTGTGAGCCGATTGAGTACTATATTTAAAAAGACGAAAATAAATAATAAAGTAAAACAAATAATTTGAAATGAAATTTAACAATTACCTCGCTCTATTTTTTATTTAAATCTTGGAATTGTTGTTGGAAGTGTAAAGCAATTAGCGCTGTCAAAAGTGGCACAAAAAGATTGACGTAGAGTCTCGGGGCCACGCTTCCGTGACATCTAATACTTTACTACCATTAACACGTGCGATCCTTCTGATGCGCCCCGTCTCACGGCAGCGGTAACCTTTGAACTTCAAGATTTAAGAGCTAGAACGTTTCTTACGAAGAAATATTTGTTCTACCAGACAATTGGAAAATCAGATATTGCAAATTCTTCAACAGGTTATCAATTCTTCGCCCATAGCTGGGTCATTGGACTTCGGCTTATAACTCTCTTCGGATTCGGAGTCTATGGTATTATTATGGGGATTCGCTCTGGACCTTTTGGAGGGAAAAGTGTCGTTTTTATTTTGATTTTCAATTATTTTGTGAAATCTAGTTTAAAGTGGAATAGGATAGTGCTATTGTACCTTAATCGAAGATTAAAACGCGAAATTATACGAATCTCGAACTAAAATACCCGTATCGGCCCGTTTTAAGGAATCCCGAGTCAATCCAAGCACGCCGCGCGCCGCCTCAAATTGCCCATCCTCTTTGTGGCGGCCATATTCACAGAAACATAATTAAACCTCATGTTTAGGCTGATGGCTTTACCAAAGCCTTAGTAAATTAAAAAAAAAACAACAGCTGGGAATAAAAAGTACGTTAAAATGTATAAAAAAAATAAAGCAAGTCAGTCATTTAAATTAATAAATTTAATTTAGTAAAGTATTTAGTAAAAATTCATATATTTAATGAAAATAATATTCATATGTTAATATAAAATATTTTGCAAAACGTGTGTACCATAAATTGGAAGGTCTTTTAGATAATTAAAAATAATGTATCTATACATTGACTTACAATTATATGGACGTCGGGTCCGCGCTAAAAAGTGTCCGAACTTATAGGGCGTTAAAATCGTACACAGACCGTCATTCACGCTTTAGTCTTCGTTTGTTTGACTGACAGCGAAGCAAGCAAAATTAGACAGTACTGCAATGACATTACAATTTAAATACTACGTTTTAGCTTTTTCATATTCCTTTACATGTCACTACGTTTAAATAGGTTGACTTGGGACATTTTTTTCGTGGTTTTTGTATTAGACCCCTCGTTCATTTATTTGTAAGTCAATGTATCTATATTAATAACTTGTGTAACTATAGTGAAAAATTTGGTAATTTGCATTAATATTTGACATAACTTATTAATTATTTTACCATCTTAGTCAGCTGGGACCATGGCACCCGTAAAGGGAATAATAAATACGCGATTTACATCCAAATAAATTTCATTTCATATCATTGACATAATAAACTATATTTAGTATAGGAAACAGGAAATGAAACTTTTTTGGTAATTGGTAATAACCATAAAACATAAGCTGTAATATAATCACATTAAAATCGTTACTATATTACTGCTGAAGCAGGTACGTACATACTCGTTGAGAGTAGTACTCGTTTGTTGAGTATTTTGTTACATAAATTCTTCAAAAGATAATTTCCAATATTACATACCGTCGTCTAAAGTTCAAAACCTCGTAACTCACGTTTTTGAACGAAATCCCTTTTTACTCTTCAAGTTTCTTTTGATAAGTACATTTTTCACTATGTTTTCACAAAAAATATTTTTATTTTAAGTATATTATGAAGAAAATACGAAGAAAGAAATAGTGATGAAGAAAGTTAGAACTATAGTCCTTATTTTAAATAAAACTACAAAAGATTTTATCCTGAAAATTCTACTAATTACGAATTCAAAGTTTTTGTTCAAAGTAACATTATTGTCATTTAAGTGAAAGTCTAAAGTGAATTAGTGAATTAATAATAACGCACACACTCAACATAGCCCCCCGCACTAGGGAAACCCTGTGTCGCAGGTGCCATGGACACACACACATAGACAACCACGAATTACACCCAAACTCACGAGAGAAATAAATGTAGGCCATACAAATATTTCTCCCAGTCCGGGAATCGAACCCGGGGACCTCTGCGTGGCAGTCCGGTATGGTAACCGTTCGGCCACGGAGGCAGTTAAGTGAAAACATAAATATTGACTCCCGACGGTTAAAAGACTATTTAGAAAATCCTAACAAGAGAACTAAGTTATTTAGGAGAAAGTGAAAACATAATGTACTAGAACTACAATGGAAAATATTTATTGAGGATCCCGATTATTAAACGAAGACATGGCTCAAAGGACTTGTATCCAAGCCAAAACTCTTAATAAAAAAATACTCTTCAAGCGCAATATCGGGCGAATAAAGCTCAAAATAAATACCATTTCTAGAATCATAGATTGTCATAATAATAGTCAGCATTTTGAACCAAATACGAGCTTACCTATAACTGGAATACACATAAGAACAATTATACTGCATATAATATTCAGAATAATCATATATCTGTAATAATGTTGGTTTGCCAATAAATAAATAAATAATTATTTCTAGAAATTCTGTTTCTTGTGCTTACTCAAAACTTCATGTTAATGGAGGTAGGTACGAGGTTTGCGAATTTTGCCGACTATACTTAAGTAAAAACATCTTTCTTAGAACATATCTGTATATATTTCTTTCATTAGGTAAAATTACATGATGTTCTCTGTTAATTAGTAGTTGTGTTACTTTTACTAACTGTTTGCGATGTAATTTCAAATATGATCTAAAATTGATTATGCCCTAGGAAGGAATAATCTAGGAGGTCAACTATCAATTGACGTAGAAATCTTGATTAACAAAATGTTTCATATACGGTATAACATGGGCCTTTTCAAGGCGAGAGTGAATAGGTATTATTTAGGTATGCATGCTCCATCATCGACCTTATCGCCACTTTCCATCAGGTGAGATGGACAAATGCGCATATACTTTATTATCCTATTAACAAACAAAAAAAATTACTGCCGAGCGAGCCATAATGCTTATGGTAAATCTATTTTTTTAAGATACATGTCCGGCAGTGGACTGGTGTGGCGGTAAATTATCTGTCAGTCGTAATGGCAGAACAGTTCCATTATACACGGGCTTCCGAAGCAGTAGAGACGCATTGCCTCAAATAGGATTATGTAGGGCTGACACTTAGGAATAATGTGATAAATTTATTGTAGATACTGAATAACATGCAATACGTGTTAGAGATTAAAATGCTTACATGCTCGCTTTCTCCCACGGTGTTTTCATGAAAATCTGCAACTCGAAAAAGGAACTCGTCCTTTTTGTATATAGGTATATTTTTATGCCTCTATAGACAAAGTAACTCTAACAATTCATAAAAACCAGTCACATTGGAATCTGGTTCAGTAGCATGGTGCCTATAACAAAAATTAACCACTTTACTAATACTTTATGTGACTCTGTAAGTACAGAGTATTATATTCTCTCTACCTATTCACTCAAATGTATATTCATGTCTTTTTAACATATATTCGACTAAAAGTGCTAAGTGCCAACCCTAACCGCCAGGTGGCATATCTCAGACATTGAATTTAACTCGCCGAAGATTCGTTTTAAGCGCGATCACCGTACTATGACTAACAGCTATTGTTTACATATACAATATTATACTTTATTCCACTTACTTGTTTTAGAAAGGTCAATGGTAAATAATCTTAGGTGAGTAAAGTATATCAGAGTTTTATTACAATTTTATTGATCAATGGTAAATTAAAATCTTAAGTGAGTAATATTAATCACAATTTTTTTCGACAGTACCTAAATAGTTTCTGCCTAACATCCTGGGAGGAAGGCCTAATGAAATGTATGCTCAAATATGAATTGTAAGAAGCTATACAACCCAAGAATTGATGGTTAATGTTAAGATTTAGTTTAATGATGTAAGAAATAATGATGATGGCCACTACATAGTACTGTAGTACTTGTACCTACCTGGTGAGCCATGGGACGTGTTAGATATGATAGAGGTAGATAATTAACGAGATCGCCAAAAGTGGCAAAGAATGACGGAGATCCATAGTCTTTACCCACCAATGAATGGGAAAATTCCTAGCATGTGAGAATAACATACACGCCATACGGTAAAGTAAGTAAATCCTAAAATAAATTAAATATAGAAAATGTAACTTTCCGTTACGACCACTAATTAACGTTACATTACTTCATTTTTAATATTACACAAAATACGTTTTGTTTATATTTTACAGGGGTTCGCTGTTCCTGTAGGTATACATATATTATTATAATTATAATATTATTTATTCAATTTGCAGTTTTTTACGTTGTCAAATTGTTATTTACATTGTTTTTCAAATAGTTTTGCTCAATTATACACGATAATAATGGTTGTAGATACTTACGCTAGATCTTTAAAATTTCTGTTGAAGAAACAAAACTTGCATATACAATACCATAGTGTAATAATAGGTACTTGCGAAGTTACATAGGTATTATTATACATATAGGTTTGTATATTTTTAGAAAAGGGTACCGATACGCAAAATACGTACGCTGACGCCATCTGGTACATGGTATGAATAACGACGTAGACAGACCACTTATTTTTATTTAGCTAAATCTTGTATGTTATCAGCCATTAAAAAAAGCCGCTGTTTTTATTTTAAATGGCAACACAAAAATATACATTCCAATTAGAGCATTTTGCTCACATTTGACAGTTTTTCAATTTGACTCTAATCTTGCATCTCTTTTTTACTCTAAAAATTGCATATGGCCCTATCGCATGATACAACAATCCAATTTTATAAAATGGAACATTAGTTAAATCGTTGTCGTTCATTTTCGAGAGCGAGCGCATTTTGTTCTGCGACCGGCCGCCATACTCAAACAAAAAGATTGAAATGAAAAGATAAATTTGTATTTATTGAAAGTTGTTGTGAGCGTTTTAATTTACTAAATGAGTTCTAAATCAGATGTAAATAGAAGAGTGCTCGCCATACAGGCGAAAAAGAAACGCCATAAATTGGGCAAGAAAAAAAATCGCGAGGAGGAGCACGGCACTGGTGGACAAGGAAACGGGGTGCGCACTCAGCCCTCAAATCGGCTGGAGCCCACGCACAGCTCGTCCAATGAGACCATTGAGGAGGACGATGACGTGCCGTACATGAGTGATGACGAGGAGCAGGAAGACAGCGCTGACTACTGCAAGGGCGGCTACCACCCTGTGCGCATTGGCGATCTATTCCTCAGCCGATATCACGTCACGCGCAAGCTGGGCTGGGGCCATTTCTCTACCGTATGGCTGTGTTGGGATCTCGTTGACAAACGTTTTGTTGCGCTCAAAGTGGTGAAATCGGCGCCCCACTTCACTGAGACAGCCCTAGACGAAATAAAAATATTGAGATCGGTGCGTGATAGCGACCCCACAGATCCCAAACGAAACAAGACCGTTCAATTACTTAACGATTTTAAAATCACTGGTGTGAATGGGACCCATGTATGCATGGTGTTTGAAGTGCTTGGTCATCACCTTCTGAAACTCATACTCAAGTCTAACTATAGAGGTATCCCTCGAGAGAACGTCAAAACAATCATAAGACAAGTACTGGAGGGCTTGGATTACCTGCATACTAAATGTAAGATTATCCATACCGACATAAAACCAGAAAATGTGTTGGTGTGTGTTGATGAAACCTATATTCGTAAATTGGCAGCAGAAGCCACAGAGTTACATTCCTTGGGGCTGCGACTGCCCAATTCCTTGATTAGTACAGCACCAAAAGAATTCCAAGAACAAGTAGTGACTGCCAAAATGAGCAGAAATAAAAAGAAGAAATTGAAGAAGAAGGCAAAGCGCCAATCTATGCTGCTTAAGAAACAAATGGAACAGATTGAGGAAATGGAGGAGCAAAAGAAACACGATGTTAACAGTGAGTCTGCTCCCATGTCACAAGACAATGACGACTCTCCTCAGACTCCAGAAGAAGCTAGTGTGATTGAAACACGTTCTGAAGCTGATTCGAATATAAATGGATGTGCAGAGTCTCATAGAGTGGAGGACGAGTCATATAACACTGATACTGATGTACAAGTAAGAAGCAAACAGTATGGCTGTGGTGGTGATGATGCAGGAACCCCTATGTCTGAAGGAGAAATGACTGACACTCCACCATCTTTTAATTCTTTAAAATCTTCCAAAGACAAATCTGTTGATAAACAGCCTGATCCTGCGTTTGACATCTGTGACTTAGAAGTAAAGATAGCTGACTTAGGAAATGCCTGCTGGGTGCACAGGCATTTTACTGAAGATATACAAACAAGGCAGTACCGTTCACTTGAGGTATTACTGAGTGCTGGCTATGGGACATCTGCTGATGTATGGAGTACCGCATGTATGGCCTTTGAATTAGCTACTGGAGACTATTTGTTTGAACCTCACTCCGGTGATGGCTACAGCCGAGATGAGGATCATCTTGCTCACATTATAGAGCTATTGGGTGATATACCCAAGCGAATTGCAGCTTCCGGAAAATATTCTAAAGTATTTTTTAACAAGAAGGGTGAATTGAGAAACATAACAGGTCTCAAACCTTGGGGACTAGTTTCTGTATTAACGGAAAAGTATGAGTGGAGTCAAAAGGATGCGGAAGAATTTGCCGACTTTTTGAAGCCCATGTTGGACTTTGATCCTAATAGACGTGCCACTGCATATGAGTGCCTTCAGCACCCTTGGTTAAAATCGTTAAAGCCTGAACAAAAAGACCCTGAGGAATAATAAACACTGCTCTCTGCCTCTAAGGAATGAATGGATTACTGTTCATGAAATCTGTAGTGTAAACACATGAATAATTTCAGTGTTAACAAGTTTAATCAAAGTTTATTTATAAATTGTTTTATGAATAATTTGTATTTAGATAGTTTTGTTAGCAACCCTTGATTTGGAGAAAAAATTGTGTGCAACAGTTGGGATACTATTGATACACAATTTCTGTCTATATGTAGCGATTGTATAAGATACAGCCGCTGCAATGTTAGTGGCAGGCAACATAATGGTTGGATCTTAGTGATTGGCATTGATTACCCAAACTGTACAGATAGATATAGGAAAAATTGTGATGTATGACATGTAGACAATATAGGTTTGTCACATTAATCTTATTGGAATTTTATTAGTTGACATAGCTCTGCACTTAAACCACCTAGAGAGTGAGGAACGTAATGTCCTGCATGCATACGTAGTAGACTTTCAGGTAGTTTGTTCACATAGTTTAAGTTTGTGTTTTATCACTATCACAATCAAAAATCTCATAATGTAAACCTTAGAAATAAGTCAGTATTTGTAATGCCACACCTCCGAGACTGCCTTTTTGTATTTCAATGAGTCATCTAAATTTAACTGGCTGGAGTCCAAGACTTCGGAGGCAGTGACAGTGTCCTCGAAACCAGCTGATAGTTGTATTATTTATCATAGATCCCAATTTACATGACCATAATTTGTATTAATTATATCTGCAAATTTACATGAATAAAATGTCAAAACGAGCTTGTTATTGTGGATATTTCATTTAGGTTAAGGAAAACCTGTAGTTGTCTTAGTGGAAAATAATAGTCCTAACTATCTTTTTTAGTCTACAATGATTTCATTGAATATGCTTTTTAAAAGTCAAATATGTGCTCACAGAATGTACCATTCAATCAAGGCACGGCCGGATATTTTTATGTATAGTAGGTAGGACTGCATAGGCGGCTCCTACACCACGCACCGCGTCTATTATCACGGGAGAACATTGTGTTTGAATTATACGTGCGGAGAAATAGATAGGTACTGACTCTGTTACGGTAACATGCGCACATTGAAGCTGCAGAGAACTGGCCTGTAACCACAGAAGACGTCACATTTGTTGTGGAATGTGGTTACAGAGTCTATTATTATAGTAAAAACAAGGTTTTATAAGTGAGACGCAGAGATAAACATGATTATAATTAAAAATATTGTATTAAATTATAAATCTACTTATCTACATATGAAGACAGATAGACTCGTACTCGAGTAAAAATGATAGGCTCGAGTCATAATAAAGCAGTGCTGTAAAGTGTGACGTCATAGGCTGTAGGTAGATTTGTGACGGATTTTGAGTAGAAATTCGTTGTAACTAGAATCTAATTTATAAACAGATGTAGCCTATCAGTACAAGCTGTTACATAAAATGTTGATTAATTACCAGTTCATACCGAGTGCTTACGAAACTTCTGCATGGTACTTTTGTTAATCAAACTGGAGTACCTACCTACTGTGATTGACTACTGTCGTTTTTTAGTAAATTTTACAACTAACTTGATGTCAAGCTTCAAATTGTATCCACTGTACAGCAAATGCTGGTGTTAAGTATGTATTGGAGCATAAATAATATTGTAGGACCTGAATTAGTAGGTAGGTATACAACAGGTGGTACCTATGTATCTGTTGTGATGAACTGTGTGTGTTCTCATATATAGGTTTAATGGTCAACATTCCAGCTGACCATCTATGTTTGGCGCCTGCTCTTTGTATAGAACTCAAATGTTTATTTTATTAAAAAATGTTTTAATATGTATCATAAAAGCAGTTAGATAAATATTTAGAATAATTAATAAGAATATGTAAGGTACGCTACTGGAATATTTTTTTTTTAGAAAACAGCGCTATCTTTAAACACAGTATGTACGCGCTATACAAGTACAATTGCTAATGCCATCTATTAACAAATGGGCAAATCTGATCTTACATCTTGTATTACTGACAGTGTTGCCATTTTATGGGAATGGGCTGTATGTGGAGGTTCTAACATTTTACCATTTTTTTAATCTATCGTTTGTTGACGCATCACGCTAGATTTTTTTTCAACATGGCACATCCCTCGCTTATACAGCAACATTTAGATATTATTATTATCAAGCCACCTAGTATGTATATGGAATTATTCGGTAGGATTTGAAACACATCTGAATTGTAAAATTACTAGTCGGTGTGTGTTGAGCACGCGACCATTCGTTCCGTAAGTCCGTAGGCCGGAACCCAGTATAAGAAAAAAACGAAATCAGCTATTGCCAAATAAAGCCGAGCAGTTGATACTTTCACGCCACAACTTGCCACTCGCCAAGGTTTGTATTAAATTATGGTCTAAACTTAATGCTAACTCATTCATTATTTTTAACCTTAGTCTATACGTTATCGTATAACCGCCCAGTTACCACGCTTTCACGTACATTAATGACTCACTTCTATTTACAAGGAAAGAACATTTAAATTCCTCTGAATAATACAACCACGCTGTTGCCGTGCGGTGTCGGCACGGCGCACTATGGGAACCCTCTTAAGAGAGCCATCTCATAAATGCTTTTTACAAAAGCATGCGGGGATGCATGTATTATACCTCAAACTGTAGCTGAATAGTTACTCTATTATTATAAATAAGATTCAAATCTCTAACCATTCGTATGGCACAGTTGAAATCATTTGAAGATATAATAAAACAAATACAAAAACAACTGTGTAACTATAGAAAAACAATAGAAATCATATAAGTTTTACCCTATTTTAGAAAGCTTGGAATGTGTACTTTACTTTCAGATAAAAAAAATGTGTAATTTAGTACAACATTATTTAAACAAAAATATATAAACATCATATGTAATATTTTCTTTTTCTAATCTTTGACTTTGAGATATGACAGTTGCCGAAGCTTGCCGAAGTTCTATTTTTTGTGTTATTTTGTAAGAAATATGATATACTTAGATGGCAAACAAAAATTTCTTGCGGTTTCAGTGCGGAACATGTTTTAATTTCGTAAAATATGCAGTAAACTTTTTATTAATTTTAATTTCGTACATTAAGAGTTTCTATTTTTCGGAATTTTTTGCCCGTACCGTCAAAAAACGCATATGACACTATTGTTAGATTATATTTTATATTTTGCGGTATTTTTATCACATATTTCTCACAGAATTTGATTCCAATTGACAAACAGTACCATTAAAAACCGCATAACCGCATTATGATAAATTAGTTTTTATCAAGTAATTTTGCACTCGTCTTCTGTCATTATTTAGTATAAAACAGGGACTTTTTCATTAAACATTACAGTTCTTCATTAGTTTTTGTTATTAGCAAAAGTTTGTTACGCAGTAACTTTCCGCAATGAGTGAATTCTCGTGCACCAGACGCGACTTAAGTCTCGTGTTGATTGAAAGTGATTCGAATTATGTTGTTTCTATTACACATTATATACGAAGCAATTTCACAGAATCTTCAGATGAAAACATAGCAAAAATTATAGCAAATATTCAAAAATCCTTCATAAACCAGTTTCGTCAACGCTTTTCTAAAGCGGGTCGAAAGAAAGATCTGTTTTTAAGTAAAAACAGCAATTGGTTGGATGGCATATTCACGGTGAAACTAGAAGAACCTACATGCCAACCTGAACCTTCTACATCAGAAGAAAAAAGAGGAAGACCTTCTAAAACGTACGAAGATAGTTCAGTGAGCACAAAAAAACGTAAAAACAAGGAATTGCTTGATTCATGTGGACTTGATTTCATATTGAACTCGTACATACAGGGCTTAAGGTCTCGTGGCGAAGTAGAAGAAGCCTTAATTGTTGAAGTTTTACGAACATTGCCGTCAGAAAAAAAAAGTGAAATACGCAATAGTCTTCTTAATGAACCAGCACATATAACAGCGTATTCAAAAGACGAAGCACTCAGCATTTTTATAGAATTAAATCTGAACAAGGCACAGTATGACAATATGAGAAATTGTTTAATTACAAAAAATTGCTTATTGTTTCCTTCTTACAAGTCGATTCGTGAAGCTAGGCGAATGTGCTATCCACCAGAATCTAGCGTTGAAATGACTAACATAAAAGCACAAATAAAACTACAAGATCTTTTAGATCACACTTCAGCCAGACTTCTAAAAATTAATGATGTTTATAAAGTGGGTTCAACCCACTTAATGCTATATTCCAAATGGGGCTGTGATGGATCGAGTGGACAAAGCGAATACAAACAACCCCTGTCTGAAAAGAGTGATCTAATTTCAGACTCTAATTTATTTATTTCATCTTTAGTGCCATTGCTACTTATAGATACCAATACTAATGAAGTATTGTGGATTAATCCTGTTCCTTCGTCAGTGAGATTTTGCCGACCAATTTTGATAGAATTTTCAAAAGAAACAGCTGAGAAAACAACACTGGTAGTCAGCGAAATTAATGCTCAAATTTTAGTCCTGAATCCTTCCCTAATTAATCACAATGGAGAAGGTATTGAAATAAAACACACGTTGTTTTTAACTATGATTGATGGGAAAGTGGCTCAAGTTTTGTCAGAAACTTCCTCAAGTGCTGTTTGCACTATTTGCAGTGCAAGACCTACAGAAATGAATAATTTAGAAAGAATGCGAAACAAACCTGTGGATGAAGCTTCTTATCAATATGGGCTTTTAACTTTGCATTGTTGGATCAGATTATCTTACAATCTAGGTTTTGAAAAATGGTCTGCCACACAAACAGAGAATAAAGATTTAAAAAAGCAAAAGAAAGCTTACGTACAAAGAAGGTTCAGAGAAGAACTTGGATTGAATATAGATAAACCTAAGCAAGTAAGTGGCAACACTAATGACGGTAATACAGCCAGAAGATTTTTCCAAAACTACCATTGTTCATCAGAAATCACTGGAATAAATGAGGAATTAATAAAACGGTTTTATGTTATACTTCAGGTCATGTCAAGTGGTAGAGGTATTGATGCCACGAAATTTGGACAGTATGCATTCGATACAGCACAGCTGTATGTTAATAAATATAAATGGTATTACATGCCGTCATCAGTGCACAAAGTGTTGATTCATGGTGAGAGTGTCATACGTCATTTTTCTGTCTTGCCTCTTGGACAACTCTCTGAAGATGTTCAAGAGTCACGAAACAAAGACTACAAGCAGTTCAGACTTCATCATGCAAGAAAATGTTTGAGGGCAGCCACCAACGAAGACGTTATACACACACTTTTGTATACCTCTGATCCATACATTACAAGCTTGAGAAAACCTTACAACAATAAATATTTGGAACTTCTTGATGAAGCAAAAGAGCTCCTGAGTGACTACTAAGCTATGTTTTTATGTATTCTTGATATTTAAAGTAGGTACTTCATCTTATTAATCTATAAATTTATAAGAACATGCATGGTTAAATCTAAGAAATTAATACTTTTTTATTCCTTAATTTTTTATAACTATAATAAATAAAATTTGACTTATAAAGTGTATATTATTTAAGAGAATATCTATTTAGGTATACCCAGAAAAAAATCAGGTAGATATCATCAAAAACACGGAAGTTATAGATTTATGATATGAAAAGGAGTCAAGGTTCCCATAGTGCGGCGTGAGCGTGAGGAAATTGGTATCGAATAAATGCGCCCTTATAGTGGTTACATGTTGTTTCTTAGTCGGTCGTATTCTAGAACTCTACTCAATGTTCAAGTCAGGATTTGAGCAGACTTGAGTATGATTTCAAGCACTGGAAATACGACCCTAATGGCAAGGACTTGAGTATGATGTTCAGTGCTCACTGCAATATTCAAGTCCTGACTTGAGTATTGAGTAGAGTTCTGGAATACGACCCTTAATTCTTTGATCCATTTTTAAACGATAGATTTAAAGCCATATTAATATAATAAAATACTGAAAATCAATAAATATTATTAGATGTGGGGAATATGAACTTCATTCTTCCCCAATTTGGAGATTTTGAATTTTGCCATCCTCTAAGACTTTGATTAGAGCATTGACAACGCTGGCAGATTATTAATTAGTGGATGGTCCCTGATCTACGACGGTTAGCGTTTCAATCTTAACATCAAAAACACGCTTTATTCTTTGGGTGTTAATGTGACAACGAAAATAACCAATCAATGTTTGAAGATAGTCGATTTTTAAGTATTTGAAGGTAGAGTCAGCATCTACTTGTTTTTCCTTAATGTAACTGTTTTTTGCGTGGAATATCTTCCGATCCTTTCAGATTTGACCTGGCAACACTGCAGTGAAGTGAGTGATTGAGATTCGCTCTGGGCCTTTTGGAGGGAAAAGTGTCGTTTTTATTTTGACTTTCAATTATTTTGTGAAATCTAGTTTAAAGTGGAATAGGATAGTGCTATTGTGCCTTAATCGAAGATTAAAACGCGAAATTATACGAATCTCGAACTAAAATAAAAACAACACAACAAATAAAAAACGATACGGGTGTATCGGCCCGTTTTAAGGAATCCCGAGTCAATCCAAGCACGCCGCCTCAAATTGCCTATCCTCTTTGTGGCGGCTATATTTACAGAAACATAATTAAACTTCATGTTTAGACTGATGGCTTTGCCAAAGCCTTAATAAATTAAAAAATAAATAAAAAATGATTGACAGTGACAGAAATGGTGCAGTATACTTAGTTTGTGCAGTATACTACCAAAGACGATATAATCAGTACTGCACTACTTACTATATACTTTACTTACCGAATATACTGAGTATCTTAAATAGGCTAAAGAGATGTTTAACTTAACAATAAGTATTTTTATCAATAAATAAATGTGATTTTGGCTACAGGTGAAAATTCTTGGTATTGTCGTAAAAATTACGTAACTTCAACAAGAATAAATCGGCGGGACAAAAAGTTTTCGTGTCTTAAGTAATGTATAACCAAAAGTATTATAAGAATACTATAAATTGGGTACAAAAATACACCAAATTATGCAATAGTGTTGGAAACAGTCACCACAATAACCTAAGAAATTTACAGATTATGAAAATTCAGAAAAAACTGAGTTTATTTGCCCCTTGACTTGATGTGCAGTGTGCCTCGTGAAGAGGTATAACACACAAACAAGGAAACTGTGATATGAATGAAACAGAAACGAAACACATCTTTTACTAGGCTATGGATTAAAACTGTTGTTTTAGGAAGAGCTACCAAATCTTTTCTCACAACCTACATTTGTTTATAAAAATAATGCAATGAAGCAGCTGGACTATATACATTTAAGGGCAAGTGTCCATTTGATCAAGATCTTAAAGCGCAAGTCAACATTGGTCCTGATTGGTGGCTTTTTTCTTATTGTCTTCTTCAGACGGAAATTGGTGTGTACCAATGTAGAACCATTATTGCATATTAATTCTGTGGTAAGTTTATTTGACAATGACATTTGAATTTATTTAACTTAATTGATAGCATTATTTGTATATCGTCACCTTAGAGTTAATACCTCGCTTACATGTTTTCATAGAGGTAGTTCTTACTGATTTTTGTTGAAGAAGAACTTATAAACTTCTTGCCCAAATATATTATTAAAGTAATATAATTTCTGAAGGTGGTATAATTTAACTTAGTGTAAGAGGCTAACTACAAACTTTGCGTTTACTACATAATACACCACATTTATATCTTCATTGTGAAAAGTTACATAGAAAACACACATTAGATATTCATTCCAAGACAACGTGTGATACTGCGTACTTGAGTTGTAGTTAGTAATGGCTTCTTTAATGTCTCTTTATTATATTTATAATAGTTGACATTTGTTAGCTGTATTTTGTAATTTATTAAACTGTATGTTTCTCTACTTCCAGTGCACTAGCTTTTGGAATGGAGTAGCAGCAGGGAACTTATGCAATGAATTATGCCAGCCAGAGATTGTACCTTCACTTGCATGTCATAACTATTATGAAAAATCAACAGTGTTTTCAGTACAATGGAATCATACTAACATAGTTTTTAAGTCGGCAAAGAAATCAAGTCAAACTGAAATCCAGAATTGGCCCTATACTGGTGGAAATTTCTATCAATCTGAAAATTATTACACAAATTTGATAAAGACTGCTGTCAAATTAAAATTTAACATTTCTATAACTAATGTTGAAGCTATAAAGCTGTTATATCTTTATTTTGGTTTCAAATGGCCGCATAAAAGTAGAGAGATAGAAAATGTCAGAACTTTAATAGAAGACAATGAATATTTAGCCCTTATTTTGTATCAGAGATTTGATGTGTTCCCAAAGTTAGTGGGAACATGTGGCACTTTGTATGCTGTACAGAAACTGAACACTGTTTCAGGATTTTGGCATCTAATGACATTGTATGATAGTCATGTTGAATGGATTAAGAGAATTAAAATAGCAATTAAAATAATAGAATTTTTAGCACGTTTAGAAAGTGGTCTTCCAGAGGCTTTGTTGATTTGCAATGTTAAGATGAACCATTTTGGTATGACAGATGACTTTAAGAAAGTTATGTACCTAGATTTAGATTCAGTTCACCCTGTAAGTATAGCTGGTCAGATTACAGGTGATGGATCAGAATGTAAAAGTCATAGTGATTGTGATTTTATGAATTGTCGGTCATTTTGTAATTTGATCACTCTGAAATGTCAACATGGTGTGGTTAATAACAATTTACAGATTGTTTGTGAACGAATATTTTTAGGCTGGGTTATGTCAGGGAAGGTTATGGTGCCTGGATTACTAATGGGACCACATACTCCACATGTACTTATAGAGTTACTTGAAGAGTGCGCTAATCCAGCTGGTGAAATTGGGACGCCAAGAGCGCCAGCAACAAAAGAAGTTGGAAAAAGGCTCCATGACTTATTAGTACACATTACTTATTAGTTTAACGCCTTAGTTCCCAAAGTTGTCCATGTGGACTCCCAGGGGTCCACGGGAGACTCAACGGGGGTCTGCATTGGCGTTACAAAAAATGGGGGTGCAAAATTCGTAAGCGGGGGTCCACGCAAAATTATCTGCTTTCGTTAGTGAAGAACTAAAATGTTGGCTTGACTTCACCTATCAATGCAGGCAGATAATGTTTTAAGAAGCTCAGCGACTGTTACTTGTAAAAACTTGCATATTCCATATTCAGTACAACGTGTCTTTTTGTCTTTTTTTGATGTCCACTCACAGCACAATCAATAATTAAATTCTCATGTGTCGAAAACTATTAATTTGTGGTTGGAACTCAGCAATTTGCGTTGCAAATTTTCATAGTTAGATCTAATCTTCACATTTTTTGTCGAGTTTTGAGAATATGGTAGAAATGAAGCTGCAGGGGGTCCACCGGAACCAGCTAAATTTTGAAAGCGGTCTATGAGAAAAAATGTCTGGAAACTTCTGGTTTAACTAGAAAAACACTTCAAATTATGACTTTAATGCACTGCCTGTGATATATTTTGCTGTGATCTCAAAAAGTTCTGGTACCTACTAATGTAAACAAAACTTTGCTGTTAAACTAGGTTTATGTAAAATAAAGTTCTCTAATTTATTTCTTGTCTGCAGGAAAAGTGACTATTTCAAGCTGTCATTGTTCCTTGAATTTATACAAAATATTTTTATTTCCATACAAGACAGGTATTTACAATGCAATGTAATTTTGCATGTTTTGTATTAGTCCCTACAAATTTTTGAAAAAATTCAAGAAGTGCTGACCAGTATGGGTTGTATTTTTAGAATTAAATCACAATGAAATAGTGGTTAGAAAAGTATTGGTAGTAAGAGCGACACTCTATGTGAGTAATGCCAAAAGTTTGCCAGAGGTCGACGAAGATTGGCAGTGAAGCCGTCGCGTCGCGCGGCAAGCACGGCGCATGCGCGACGATGATGAGCGACCTTCCTGCGTCCTTTCCTCCAGCCAGTTGAATCGACGGTTCGTAACGCTTCACCATTCATGTAAACACAAGGAATCGGACTTCACTCTCGTTTGCTGTTTACCAATATCTCGGAACTTTCAAACAACAATACGTGTAGTGTTATGACGTGATCTCATTTCATGGGATTTTGATACACCGGCCTATTACAAGGTTTGTATACTTTCTCACTGTTTACATAATATTAACTCACTTTTTGTTGCATATTTTTATTTCTTTGGTACTTTTCAGTGGACAATGTTTGTTAAAACAGTTTCATCTGGAAACATCTTTCCGAATTAAAATTCGCAATACAACTAGAAGTGACTTTATACTCGTATTATAGTAGTTAAGTGACCTTGACCTCTCACCTTATAGGTCAATGTCCCCACAAGCTCACTATCAATAGAGCAATTAATTACTAGTGTTCGAAGACCTATTTTTCAATTGAGTCACTTATGCAGGGTTAGAACGTGGTTAGAACAGTGACAATTTATGCAGTCTGTTATGTCTGCATGCAATGCTTAGACTATAATTCTACGAATACGCAAGGTTCATTGGTGATGATACTTTAAAATATTCTACATTTTTAATTATTTCCGATGATAATTGAAATCGAGAAAGTAAACACCATTTTCCTTTGTAACTTGATGTTATGATTACGCAATTCTATCTTTTATACAATGTTATCTTTAATTTTTTTGACAAAAATAGGTCTACTACAAAAACAAATTGTGAGATACACTAAACGTTAACCTTTTACATCTGCGCCATAGGTCATACTAACCTAAACCTGTTGGATTTAATAATAATAACGCTCACACTCAACATAGCCCCGCACTAGGGAAACCCTGTGTCGCGGGTGCCATGGACACACACATAGACAACCACAAATTACACCCAAACTCACGAGAGAAATAAATGTAGGCCATACAAACATTTCTCCCGGCCCGGGAATCGAACCTGGGACCTCTGCGTGGCAGTCCGGCATGGTAACCGTTCGGCCACAGAAGCAGTTAAGATTTATGAATGTAATATTGTTTTGAAGATTATGTTGTTCATCGAGGATCTATCATCTTGTCAGGATGTAATAAGTACTTGTCATTCGTGGAGGAAGTGGTCGCCCCAGCCCCAGCTATAAATTACAATCAAAGGACGGTTAAAGGGCTTCGAAATTGGGATCACAACGATGATGCAATACATTCTTTGAGTTATCAGACTAGATTTTTTTTATTTATTAAGCATTGACTTTAGAGCCGTCAGACCTGATAACAAATAATTAAGAAACTTAAAACGTAATATTACTTTAAAGTAAAAATTTGTTCGTATAAAAACTGTAATTATTATTTATTTATTGTGCATTGGTTATATAGCCATCACATTAAACAGGCAAAAAATAATTAAGAACCCCAAAACGTAATAAAACTTAAAACAAAAAAATAATTTGTGTAAAAACTAACCACAAAAACCCCTTTCGGACTGAGTTGGTTCCACTAGTAGGTCCAGTAGGATTTTGAGCGAGTGACAAAAGTAAAAAAAGTTCTGAAACGCTTATTAAACACTACCTGATTTCGATGGCCCTGCAATTAAAGGTGGGCGTGCACCCTTGATAGAACGTCGCTCTTATTATCTTATAAGTAAGTCGTCCAAATTAGGGACTTAACTCCCTATCTATTATTACACCTCGCTAAGTTAAAAGTCTTTGAAATGGGATAGTGTAATAAGTATAACTTCACTGATATTTTTCTCTCTCAGACTGCTCGACGAAAGCTGCTTTTTTCATTTGTTTTGAGTTATGATTAAGTGTTAGGTACTTTAACTTTAACCTTCATAGTTAGTCTAGCCTTGCACTACGTCATACCTATTGAATCATATGTACAGCGAAAAGACATTTTTTATTGTTTCATTATCAAGTTTGTGCCCGTTCTCATGTTTCCAATGAACTCAATACCTTAGGAAACAATGTTTGTTATCGTGAAATCTATTTCTTTTGATGGCTTCTCCCGGAGTATAACTAATACAGGCGTTTGCAGTATATAGATTTTGTTTTGCTATTTGTTTGGTGTCTCTTTTACTCTCGAGGAAACTAATTTGTCAAATTTCACACTTTTTATCTACAGCATCCATTTTTTCTTTTCATTTTAGATTTATTCTGTAATATTCATTCTGATCGAAGATAATGAAATCGTCGCGGTCATCGTTCCACCTATTCATAACGGAAAACGGTAAACTATATTTAACTCGATCCGAGATGTGTTGTTTAAGTGGAAATAAGTCTGGAAGATGTCTACAGTGTGCGTTTTATTTCCAGGAAGGTTATTCAACTCAAAATTACTGTGCAATTTTTAAATGATTTTTTTATTCGTGTGCTAGTACCTACTACCGATTTGGTAACGGGCTTACTTTGATTTGGGGTTTAATATACATATAGCATTCGTTTTATAATGATTTATTATAATATTGGCTATTTATTTGCGACATTAAAGCAGACGGATTTGCACTCTTTTTAATGGACATAAAAAAAGGAGTTTATTCGTTCGGCTGTATGTATGTTTTCAGATATCTCCGTCAATTGTGGACCGATTTTCAAAATTCTTTTTTGTTCGAAAGGGTGCTCTCTAGTGGTGGTCCCATTGTCACCAAGCCAGAATCTAATTAGGGGATCCTGAAAATCGAAGGAAATCCTCAAATTTTATAGGCTTGTCCGTGTATTCACCAATTTCTTCAACAATTGTTGAAACGCACTAGACTAGGTTGGTGGGCTATGGTCCAAACTCCTTTCGCTCATGAAATGTACACTTATAAAAACAGGCCCCCAGTGACCGGCGACTCCAGTGAGTGCGCCGCCGATGACAGTGGACCGGTGGCCCCTGGAGCATGGGGCACATACAATCTCCAACTGTTAAACAACCACGGCTCGTCAAATAGACAACGAAAAACTCAAACATTCTTACGATTAATGTCGCACTGAAGAGCGATTAGTCGAACTATAGAACACCTTGCTTGATATTAACTGGGACGTAATGAACTGTCAGAAGTCAGAAGAGATAGTAGAGTGAAACGGCAAGATATTTTATTATACAGGAAACAGCACCGGTTAGTGTGATGTGGGACTCTTAGGGTCGTATTCCAGAACTCTACTCAATGCTCAAGTCAGGATTTGAGCAGACTTGAGTATGATTTCAAGCACTGGAAATACGACCCTAATGGCAAGGACTTGAGCATGATTTCTAGTGCTTTGAAATATACTCAAGTCCTGACTTGAGCGTTGAGTAGAGTTCCAGAATACGACCCTTAGTCTCCAAGAGGTGGAAACATAACATCAACAAGTAGGAAGATCCTCACAATTGTTCATGTATACGCACCAACTTCCTCATACACAGATGAAGAGATCGAAGACTTTTACGACCTTCTCAACAAAGCCTGTGATGAACACAGAGAAACCTGGACAGTAGTGTTAGGTGATTTTAATGCTAAAGTTGGCACCAGATTAGATTCTGATGACAGTGACATTCTAGGTCCATACGGTTTGGGAATCAGGAATGAGCGTGGTACACGCTTTTTACAGTTTATTCTCGGCCAAACAATGAGTGTTTTCAACAGCTATTTCCATAAAAAACCACATGCCGCTGGACCTGGTTTTCACCCGATAAAATAACCAAAATCGATTTCTGTCCTTCAAATAAACAAATAGTTAACAACGTTGAGATAATCGCTTCAAATTTAATTCAGATCACCGGTCGCTGCGTGCTACCCTTAAATTCAATTTGAAAGTTATCGCCTAAATATTATCAAAGGCACAATGAAGCTGTTAGATAAATCAGCCTGCTGCAAAATAAAGACATTTTTCTCCTTGAATTCCAAAACAGCTTTTAATCACTGCCAGTTGACAGCTCAAATGATATTGAGACCCAGTATATATAATAATATTTTAAACAGTATTAAAAAACTAGTCAAACAATAAATGTCATCTCAAGTACATAAGCAAGAAGAGCAACATTTCAAAAAACCTAATCGAAGAAAGACAATTACTAGGTATTCTCAAGAGTATAGTGGCAAGGATCGGGAAGTAAAAAGAAGCATCCGGAAAAATATTATGAGTCATAACATCACTTCTGTTCAAATTGCATTACATACTAATCGTAACTTACAAGTCTGCAATTAGAGGCACAGAAATAGGAAAACACGTCATAAGTAATTTACGAGACAGTAATGGCGTAAAGCAAGTGATAGGTCGAGGATACTTAACATTTACTACGAATTTTATAAAAATCTTTATTCTGAACCCTCCAACCCAGACCAGCAACAAGCCCCAACAGCATACATATGATCCGAAAACAGAGCTCATAACTATTTCGCAATACATCGAGCACTACTCATCATGAAGTACAGCAAAAGTCCAGGCCATGATAACATCACAGATGCACTCAAGATTGGAGAGCCAGTTCTTTTTCCTTACATCACACAACTTTTCAATTCTATATTAAATACAGGCATTTTTCCAAACAACTTTTGTCATTCGAACATAAATAAATAATGCTGCAAATCAGGCAAAGGCAATTACCGACCTATCTATCAGTCTTGTTTCTCATCTCTACAAAACTTTCATTAAACTAATAGAAAATAGAATATCTGGCACTCTAGACCTACGCGAACCTGCAGAACAGGCTGGATTTCATCGTGGGCTCTCCACCACAGACCGCTTACATGCAGTAAACCAGGTCTTAGAGAAGCATATAGAATACCAACTACCTTTGTATCTTGCATTCATCGACTATTCTAAGGCGTTTGATGGTCTTATTCACAGTTCCATCTTTCAATCGCTGTATAACCAACAAATGGAACCTACTTATATATTCCTTCAAAACATCTATCGCAAAAGTACCGCTGCTGTCAAATTGCAAGTCTCCGGACCATTTTTTCCAATACAGAAAGGAGTAAAGCAGGGTGATCCACTGTCGCCTAAACTCTTCACCGCCACCTTAGACGAGGTCTTCAAGCCATAGCTAATAGTTGGAAGGAGAAGGGAATTGTGGTCGGAGATAAAAGACTAACCAATTTCCGTTTCGCCGACGACACCGTGTTATTCTCCTCTTCTGCAGCAGAGATTGGTGAAATGATCAACCAACTTAACAACGCAAGCCTCGGGGTCGGACTGAGGACGAATTTGTCGA